TGGTCAGATAATTGATAAAAATTTGCATTTGTTGAAAAAACAAGGTCTATTTGGTGTTGAAAAATTGAAAAACTATCATTCTATGATCATTGCATTTATGGTAAGCAAAAGAAATTACCTTCTATTCTAGGAATGATAAATCTAAATCTATACTTGATTATTTGCATGCTGATTCGTGGGGACCCGCATCTGTTTACACATATTCTGATTATAAGAATTTCCTTCTCATAATTGATGATTTTTCTAGAAAAGTTTGGGTTATTTTATTGAAAAATAAATCTAATACTTGAAAGCATTTTAAAAACCAAAAAACTCTTGTTGAAAATCAAGTTAACAAGAATATAAAGATTCTTAAGACTATTAATGGTCTTAAATTTTGCAATGAAGAGTTTGACAATTTTTGTAAAAAAAAAAAAAAAAAATAGATAAAAAAATGGTATCCTTATGTACATAGTTGCCACATACACTTCTCAACATAATGGATTAGCAGAAAGAATGAATGGGACTCTCTTGGAAAAGATTAGACATTTTATTAATCAGCTAACAACTCAAGGATATTTTGAGGAAAAGCTGTAAAAAAAAAAAACTGTAGCATATCTTATAAATAAATGTTCTATCACATCATTGTAATATGACACTCTGATTGGATTGGTCATCCTATTGACTATTCCATATTAAAAGTATTTTGATATGGCGCATATGCACATCAAAATGAAGAAAAACTAGAACATATGATCATTAAAGACATTTCCAGGTTATTGAGAAGGGGTGAGAGAATACAAAATTTGGCTAAGAGATCAGTGTTATTACATGTTCATCATTAAGAGTGTAGTCTTTAGTGAAAATTACATACCCCATGTTAAGGAAAAATATTTGCTTCTGAAAATAAACAAGTTAGGAACTTAGTGTATTTTGATCCCATTTCGACAAATTTAAATCTTTTAAATGAAGATGAAATTGAAGTGGAGAACTCAAGAAACCTTTTAATGAACTTGAAATCTAAAATACGGAAGAAGTTATAGCCTGAAAACTGTAGAGAATTATCAATTTCCAAGGGACGGTATGAGAAGAAAAATTAGGCCACCTGCCAGATTTGATGAAGTAGATTTTGTTTTTTACCTTTAGTGTACAAAAAATAATAAGCCTAATTCTTATGAAGAGGTTATTGGCAGGAAAGATGTGAGTCTTTTGCTTGCAGCTATGAAAGATGGAATGCTTTCATTAGATAAAAACAAGACATGGACCTTAGTAAATAAACCTAAGGGGACAAAAAATTATATACTGTAAGTGGATTTACAAAAAAAAAGATGGAGAACATGAAGATAACAGTGTGAGGTTTAAGGCCAGGTTAGTTGTAAAGGGTTTTACCTAAAGGAAAGGGATTGATCATAATGAAATATTTTCTCCTATTGTCAAATATACTTCTGTAAGGATTTTTCTCTCTCTTGTTTCTTGATTTGAATTTGAATTAGACCAATTAGACGTGCAAACTGCTTTCTTAAATGAAAAGTTGGATGGAAATATTTATATGACTCAGCCTAAAGATTTTGAGCGGAAGGGAAAAGAAAATTGTGTGTCTTTCATATAAATCTTCATCTAGATTGAAACAAGCTCCTAGACAATGATATAAAATGTTTGATACATTCATAAAGGGGTTTGGTTTCAACAGAAGTAAAATAAGATTCATGTTTTTATTTTAAGGATAATGGAGGTTCAAATTCCTATTATCTTCTGTTATATATTGATGCTATGTTGATTGTTGAAAGTGGTGGTTATGAAATAAACAAGGTAAAACAGAAGTTAAAACATGAATTTGAAATTAAATATTTAGAACATGTAAAAAGGATTTTAGGAATAAAGATTAAAATAGATAGAATTGGAAATAAATTGTTTCTAACACAAGAGTATTACATGTCTAAAATATTGAATAAATTTTCTATGTTTGATGCTAAAACAGTAAGTTTACCTTTGGCAAGTCACTTTAAACTCTCTCTTGAACAATGTCATAAAATTGAAGATGATTAGATTATACTAAATAAAATTTCTTATGCTAATGTTGTTGGTTCACTTATGTAACAGACCAGATTTAGCTATGTTGTAAGTGCTCTTAGTAGATTCATGAGCACTCCTAGTGAATGTTACTTGGAGGCTATGAAATAGCAATTAAGATACTTAAAAGGAACATGTAACATTAGGTTAATGTTTTATAAATCTATGGAGGAAATTAATCTAAAAGTAATTGTTGATTTAGATTTTGCTGATAATAATGATAATAGTAAGTCTACGTCTGCTTATATGTTTACTATAAATGAGACTTGCATTTATATAAATTGGAAAACTGACCTGGATGTTTCATCACTATACATACTCGCATTTTGGTTATCCGACTTTGATTAAAAAAATTCTAAAAGCTGAAATGAAGCCACGTGGTTGCTTGTTGACTTATTTTACTTAAATGCCCTATTTGTCTCTTCTTTTGTGAGATTATTCTAGGATTTTCTGTTGTGGTGTCTTTTCTCTTTCTCTCTATCATCCATTCATATTTTTCGTCTATAATATCTATTTTTTGATGATTTCTTAGTGAGATTCTAAAATGGTGTGTTGTGAGGGTTCTTAGTGTGTTCTTGGTGAGCAATTACTCTAGTTACTTGGTGTAATTGTGAGAGAAGAAAGATCAAGAGAGAAACTACATTTCTAAGGATTTTTCTGGTTGATAATTTGAGTACTGGCTGTTGTACTTGTAATCGTTGGTCATGCTAGTGGATTTAGAGCATTAAACATAATTCTGTGGATACTTAACGTGGAGAGTAGACCTTTAGGCTGAACATCCAGGCCACAAGGCGAAACAAATATTGGTGTTTATACACTGTTGAAGTTTTATTATATATTTGTTACAAATATACAAACACTTTCCCAATAGGATAAAAATACTTGGACAGGACCTACACAAACAAGGAACCTAATTGGCGCCCCTTCCAATGAGGGGGTGCGGGCCTACGAGGGGGTTGATGCCCCCTATTGGAGGGGGCGTCGAATGGACTGATAGGACCACATTGGCCCAGTCTGTCCAGCACGGTTGTTCTCAATAATGGTGCTTCATTCTATCCCAATGATCACTCCGGCCAAAGATAAACCAGATGCAATAAAGGTGACAACATGTTTGAGAGTGATTATAACTTGTGGATCATGCGGAATATGTATACAATAAGGGAGTAGTAGTAGTAAGTTTTACAAAATGTGTGGATGTAAATTATATTTAATCATCATAGATTACAATTTAAGCTTTGCCTAACACATTTAATTAACCTATAGAGTTTTAAGTTTTAGCACAAATAGAAATACAAACCATTTCAGTGCTGTCATAGCCGAGTTTGAGCCAGCTGGTCCGATCCTAGTTTAATCTATCCCACTGATTTGATGAAACAAACATTCTCTTTCTGCGAGTTATTTGTTGCTTACATATTGTGGGAAAAACGACAGGACAATTCTTCTTTGGCAAAGAAGAAGTATGCATTTGCATGACTTGCTTGCCAATAGAGAACAGCCTTGTTACTTCTTTCCCCACACACAGGGGTGGATCCAAGCATGGGCTAGCCCGGACTACAACTTGTGCTCACCCAAGCCCAGATTCAGGTATCCCATAATTTTATTTATTTTTTTGGTTGAGCCCATTTCATTTGATTGAGCAACCTCCCCCCCCCCCCCCCAAAAAAAAAAGAAAAGAAAAGAAAAGAAAGATACCCTGACCTAGCTCCATTTTCTTGGCCCAAACAAAATTTAAATTTCAATAACCTATAAACCAAACCCAAACCTAAAATCACTTTCATTTCTAACCCATTGGCTTCCTCCCCAAACTCCTCTACCATGCTCCATCTCCGTCTCGATCCATAACCATTAGCCAACGGTCCATAGCTAGCTCCCAACGGTATGTATTTTCGATTTTGCCATTTTGGAGTTTAGTTTTTGTGTTTTGTAACTTGGACGATTTTTTATATATATTTTTAGATTTTAGTACTTAATATGGATTATTGAGATTTGAGAATGGGTTGTACATTGATTTTTGAGAAATAGAATACAAATTTTATTGGAGTTTAGGTTGTATGGATGAAATAGAGTAAAATTTTTTACTCTCGTTCCTTGTGCTGTTGTACAGTTGTGCTGAGCTTTTCAAAATAAAAATAAAAATAGAAGGGGGGGAGAGAGAGAGGGAGAGAGAGAGAGAGAGAAATTGGTGTTGAAAACTTATAATTACTGTCGAAGAGGTGAGTTTCGTTTTTTCCCCTCGGCATTTAGGCCTTTCTTCTTTTGTCCTAGAATCTTTCCATAGCTGGTGAAAACATGTAATCTATGAGGTTCTAAGATAAAAATATTGATATAATTGTAAGATAACAAAAAAGTGCAACTATCTAGAATAATAGAATAATATCATGGAAGTGAGTGACAAGGGAAATGAGCCAATTTGAAATATGAAATTATAAATCCTTGGAATTTAATAGGCTTCCTTAAATCCTCATTGAAATTGATAAACAAGTGCAATGTTTCTTATAATTCGAGTGTAAGCTTACGGGTTCACTAATAGCATTATCAAAATGAAATTTGTATTTGTTCTTGTTTTTCAGCAATAAGTCACTTACTGACATGGTAGAATAATAGCTGATTTTTTAGCTTATTTGATCTTCTTTCCTCTTCTTGATTTTGTCCGTTTATTCGCAGTCACAACTAGTTGGAAGAGTTTATAAGAAAATGGCATTTTACGTTATTAATTCATTCATGCTGGAGAGATCTTTGTCTAGTGTCTACCAACCAAAAACATACACCCTAGTAAGTAAATGTCTCCATCTCTCTACTTATGGCCTTGCCAGCAAAATATAAAATTGAATGTTGTCGCCTATTTGTCTATGTTGCCTTGTTGGCTTAATAAATTATATTTTGATTGTCGTTAGAGCAATATCATTGATTGATTATTTATTTATTTATTTTGCGATTTTAAGAAATTCAAAATGAAAGGTCAACCACCCCTCAAGAAGAATAAGAAATTGTTTTCCGTCTTCCAAAGGGCAGATAGACCTACAGAAAGTACAACTTCTGATGGACTAACTAAAGACAACCTTTATTTTCACCAGAAATTGAACAACAGTCATCCTCAAATTAGAGTAGCATATCTAAAGGCTGAGCCTTATCAACTAAAACTTGTTGAGTATCCAAAGACACAAGGAAAATCTCAGTCTCGTCGCTTTCAAGCACAATGGTTCAACTAGTTTCCTTGGCTAGAGTATTTACCTATAACAAATAGGGATATTGTTTTTATTGTTATCTTTTTCAAAATGATGGGAATCCATCCAATTGTTCTGCACTAGTAACTTCTAAATATAACCGATGGAAAAGGGTTAATGACGGATCAAAATGTGCATTTCTTACGCATTTGCGATCATCATATCAGAATATGTGTGGGAGAAGAGCTAAAGATTCAATAAAACTTTCTCAATATATTGATAAAGTGATGCATATCATATTGAATTCAGAAGTTGAGAAACATCGTTTACTTTAAATACTTCAATTCAAAGCGCTTGATGGTTAGCATTTCAAAGTTGTTCCTTTAAAGGTCATGATGAATCTCCGTCTTCATTAAATCGCAGGAATTTTCTTGAAATGATAAAAATTTTGACAGAAACGAAGGCAGAAATTGATCGAATTATTTTGAAGAATACTCCAAAAAATGCCCAATACATTACTTCGAGTATTCAAAAAGAAATCTTACACATAATGGCGAATAAAGTAAGAATGATGATTCACGAATAAATTGGCAATGGATACTATTGTATTCTTGTTGATGAAGCACAAGATACATCTAAGAAAGAACAAATGGCCATTAGTTTGAGATTTGTGAATCCCTAGGGTATTTTGATGGAAAAATACTTTGATATCAAAAGCGTCAGTGACACTGCATCATCAAATCTAAAAAATGAGATTTTAAGCGTTCTTACTCAATATGAACTTCAAGTTGGAAAATGAGAGGCCAAGAATGTGATGGTGCTAGTATTATGTGGGGCACTTAGAATGGACATCAGACATTATTTCTTAAAGATTGTCTATATGTGTATTATGTCCATTGTTTTGCTAATTGATTACAATTGGTATTGGTTTATGCAGCTAAAGAAGTTGATGTTATTTGGGAGTTCATTTCTCATTTGGACAATATTATCAACATTATTACTTCTTTCCATAAGCACATTATAGATTTACAATCCACTCAAAGAAATGAAATTGAGCATATGTTAGCTACTGGGGAGTGTGAGTCGGAAAGAGGAGCAAATCAAGTTGGTAATTTACGACAACCAGGAGCAACTCATTAAAGTTCCCATATTACTCTATAAAAAAGCTTGATAGATATGTACAAAGCAACTTGCAAGGTGTTTGAAATTCATGTTGTCCATTGTCCCAATGGAAGATCTCGAGACGAAGTTTGTGGCACTAACAAACATATGAAAAGTTTTGATTTTGTGTTCAGTTTGCATTTAATGCATAACATCATAAGATTAATCGATACTCTTTATCAAATACTGGAAAAGAAATCTTTAAACATCTTGGCTACTATGAGACCTGTTTCTACTATACCAAAACTCCTTAAAAAAAGAGAGATGATGATTGGGAAGAATTTCTTCAGGAATTAAGAAAGTTTTGCTCAAAACACGATATTGAGATACCTGACCTAGAAAGTTTGTACAAGGCTGGTCCTTGTCGTTCTCGTGATCAAATTACAACGGATCATCATTATCACTTTGATTTTTTCAATGAAACAATAGATTCCGTACTGATAGAATTAAATATAAGATTTAATGATACATTAATTGAACTTCTCACACTCAGTGCAGCTTTGGAACCTAAAAATTCGTATAAATCATTTAGCATTCATGATATATGTAGACTTCCTGAAAAATTCTATCATGGGGATTTTTGAAAGCAAGATATTCATACTTTGGAATATAGTTAGGACATTTTGAGCTAGATATGAAGAGTGAATCTCGATTTCAAGTATCGACAGTTGTTGAGTTATGTCAACGGTTAACTGAGAGTGGCAAGTTGGAGACTCATACTATGGTTACTCGATTAATTCTTCTTGTACTGACTTTATCTATTTCTACGGTGACTACTGAGTGAGCATTTTCAGCAATGAAACATGTGAAGACGGATCATCATAACAAAATGGAAGATGACTTTCTTGCTGATTGTATGACACTCTTCATCGAACGAGAACTTACTCAAAAGATAGATATAGATTCTATTGTAGATAAATTTTATATTTCAAAACCTCGTCAAGAACAACTTCAAATTAAATGAATTTGACTGTAATTCATATATGAATTTACTATATCATCTTTTAAATTTTAGCCCATGCGTCAAAAATTCCTTAATCCACCCCTACCTACACATTGTCCATTTGTCCCCAAAGTAGCCATGGAGGTTCCATTTCTAAGAGCATATTTTCTATACTTCGTGGTTCGCACCTTCATTTTGGATATGCTGAAAATAGAAATGGCATATGCTTGGGACTATACCTCTAGGGCTTTCCTTTACTTTTCGTTAAGGCCATGGTCCCAAGTCCTGACTTTCACTTTGCACATCGTTAAGTTTGTTCTATGGATATGCTGATTGAAGTGAAGAAAATGATACATGTTGGAAATTAAGAACTTCATTTAGGAAGTCTACAACTTTCATAAATTTTTTTTCTTGAGTCGGGACTGGGCAGGAGGAGGGAATATTAATGGGGGTTCTTAAAGCAAGGACTGTGATGAAATTTTATTATTAGTAATAAAGATAACATAATTACTAAGTTCCTAATAATACCATAATTAGGGATGCCAACAAGTCGAACCAAAACTCGAGGTTCGAGTAAAGTGGTGCGAGTTTTTTTTTGTCCATAAAATTCTGTCTTTAATCTTCTGTTAATTTTACATTGAGGACAATGTAGTAACAAAGTTTGGGGAGGTGACATAATTTTATAATTTTAAATAAGTATCTGTGTTATCTGTGTTCATCGGTATCTATATTCCACAATGTGTGCATGAATCCCCCCCCCTCTTTTTTTTTTTTTTTTCGTTTTTTTTTTTTTTTTTTTTTTTTTTAAATGATTGCTGCCTTAAAAAAGGCAACAGTAGGTTCATGTAAAATGGTGCGAGCTTTTTCAGGCCCGAGCCGAGCCGAGCCGAGCCGAGCTTCTATTTGGCCAAAAAATCTAGGCTCGACCCAGGCTTTTACTCGAGCCTTTTCGAGTAAAGCTAGGCACGTTCTTTTTATTAAAATAACTGCTACCTTTTTCAAGGCAGCACTCGACTGCCTGAAAAGGCAATAGAAATACCTTTAAATTCATTTTTTTCTCTTTTTTAAGGCCCATGAGCTTGAGCCACACGGGTTTGCTCGAGCTTGGGCTGACACCCCAAAATAGCGCTTGGCCCGAGCCTCAAGCCGTGGCCCAAGCCGACGAGCTAATTGATATCCCTAACCATAATGACATACCAAAGTATTTAAAATAGTAAGTAATGACACCATAAAACATTAAAATTTCAATATTTATTGCATGACATTGTCATACACACTCATTTCTTAACTTTTTGTTTTTTAGGGAAAAAAAAAAAGAAAAAAATCATATCTTATTATTTACCTTTCTGTTGATTATTTTTCGCAATATTCTTTTTGATATTCATATGTTCCAACAATTTATTCCTCAACAATGAAAATGCCAAGGGTTTTTTTCCACTATGTGAACGCGATCCTTCGATAATAAATTAAAAAATTGTACCAGTACCACTTGACTAAGGCTAAGGCCTAGGTGATCCAGTCAAGTTTCTTGCTTGAAATATTTTTGTAAATCATAACAACCATTTAATTGCTAGAATATTGGATCATTCCACTTGTTAATGAATACAAGAATATGCTGTAAATATCCTTGTTGAATGCAAAACACAACAATTTTGCATGAGCTATAAATAGAGACGAGTGCTCAGATCTTTTAATCTTGTCTCTTCAGAGTGTATGGATGCATTACTGGGCAATTACTCCACTGGCAGTGGGCTACTTTACTGCTATATAGGGCCTGGCTGTATTATTTAGCTCACTGCCAAGGGAGATTTGCCTGTTAATTCACCCATATAGACAAATAATTGTTGCCATATAAATGTCTACAATTTTGTAAAATCGGGTATTATTAGATTTTACGTTTGGGAAGCCGAGATATATGAAGTTTTGTATCACAAGTCATTACAATATGCATTTCTTTTAAAATCGACGTAATAGTTATAAACTCATAAGCAAGCCTTGTTTAATTCAGCATTGAGAGACAAAATAAGAGTAATTACGTTTGTGTAACTAAAATGTATATTTTTATTACATATAATTAGTAATTAATAAGTTCATGATATTAAAAATCATTTCCTTCAGAAAAAAATTATTAAAAATCAATTGTGATCATTGAATATTTTAATATTACCCCGTTCTCCATTTAATTATTTCTTGTTAAACTTTTAAGAAAATGAGGAATGAATTATTTCGTTGCAATGTCCCAACATAGTTTGGATCAGTGTTTTCTCTGTATTTATATCAAAAAAAAATGTGCAGTTTGTAAAGGATGTTCAAGAGTTGGGATTGCTTCCCCATTCAACGGCTGATGAGACCTGTTCTTGAGATCTTATGGATCAGGGGCGACGACACTCACCTATATAAGGCAAACCCTTGCCTCTTCCTTTTATTTGGTAAATTTTCCTCAAGCTTTTGTTTTTCCGGCGATCCTCTGTTCATTATTTGAATAGATTTTCCGTTTCTTTTCTTTTGGTTTATATTCCCTTTATGTACATTCCTGGCATTCTGGGAATACAAAGTAAAGACAGGCAAGAAGGCTACCGTTGATACTCTCATCGTCAAGTCAATTGTCAATATAAATTATACGGTGTAATGGGTGTGGGACAGACACACAAGTAGATATTTAGCTAAAGTTTAGAGCATGCATACATTTCTCATTATATGTACATGAATGTTTATATAGAAATAGGTCTTATTAAATTAGTTTTAGAGTACACATATGTAATAATCTCTTGTTTCTATTATACAAAGTAGAAGACCCTATTTATAGGGTTAAAAATAACTTTAAAATGAAAGATTGTGTGATTAGATAATCACACAATCAATTATTAAGGAAAATAATCCCACACAATTGAAAAATTATCATAAAAATTATTCTTCACATTCTTTCTATATCCTCAACACCATTTCTCAAACTCAATAGTGTAGTGACAATCAAATTGAGTTTGTAAATTAAATTGATTCAATCAAATTTCCCTCTTCCTAGGATTAGGATCGAATGATATTTCAAAATTGTTTTGTACGCCAACCAAGCCCCCCCAAAAAAAAAAATAAAAAAAATAAAATATAACTCAAGTTGGTAAGAATGAAAAATCGTCATTCACCAATCTAACCAGACCATCACTAAGACTTGAAGGAGACGCCTATAAATATAACAAACAAGACCAAAACAATAACCTCAAATGGTTTTAATAGCTAGATGGGCAAAGGATAGAGCATGTTTAATAATAACACTCTGAAAATTCATTGGTAGTATTATTACTACACTTAGAAATAAAGGAAAGACAGATGAAACACGAACCTGGCACACGATGAGGCTAAAACAACGGAATCAAATTTGATGAAAAAATAACATGGTAATGATCGATTTTCTTGGAAACCAACTCTCTCCAAGAAAAAGTGACAAGAATAATCAACATTTACCAAGATTTAAATTCATCTAAAACCCAAATTTAGATTTAATCAAGAATCGAAGAAAATTTTACTGAATAAAATATGGACAGAATATATAAAAAAGGAAAAAAATTTAGCTAGGTGAGGATATTTAATCAAAATAAGAAAACTTGACCGAGCAAGTGGCACGAGAATAGAAGCTTGAAAGTTTAACTGAAAATGAAATTAAACCCGCTTTGATACTTGGTTAGAATATTATAAATTATATGTAATAAACTTTTGTTTTTATAACAAAGTAGAAGACCTTACTTATAGGGCTATAAATAACTCTAAAAGGATAGATTCAACTATTAAGAAAAATAATCCCACACAATTGAGAAGATATCATGGAGATTATTCTCTATAATCTTTCTATATCTTCAACATTTAGGATGCTGTTACCCTAATTCCACTCAGCTTACTATGATTGGTGTCCATAGATTCTAGAATAAATTATGGTAAATTTCATTTGATAAGTTGAGTTTGCTTACTCATGTGACTTGATTTCCTTGTGGATATTGATTTTCCATAATCCCAAGGATCACATGTTAATTTTCGAGAACTAATGAGGTAGTTTCCTTATCAAATGCTTCCTTCCTCGTACATACCAAAACCCAAATCCAAATGTCATGGAAGCCTTCATTTGACAAACATGCAAGTGCTTCGCCTCAGATGTCCAACTGATAGGGCTCCATCAACCGACGAAGCTTATGCTAATTATGGATGACGTTATATGATGACCATGAGGGATGGCATCTGTCGAAGCGCAGGCTTGTTGGTCAGGCACATTTACTTGAGACAACTGTAGGGCCCCATTCCAGCAAATACTAAGGTAAATCGGGCTCAGTTTCGCCTAAATATATCGACAGCACCACGGGGTTGAGACAACGCCCAAAGAACCACCGCCTATATTCCACTTCCAGTTGCTATAATATACTCATAAAGAGTTGGCCAAGATGAAAAATAATAATTTGTCCACAAGAAACCACAACGGTCATAAGAAGGGGAGAAATCGAGAAGCAGTCACAGAGAGAGATGGATCATTCTTCATACCTTTGTGGATTGCTAACACCACCACCCTTCTCCTTTGTGGGGGTTAAAGAGAAAGAGAGCAGTCTAAAGTGAAGGCGAAAGTCTTGGGTCGAGCCGAGGTAAATCAGTGTTTGTTTGATTATTTTCTGAGCCCAAAATCAAGATTTATTGAGGGATTTCTGCTACAAATGGTATCATAGCTTGTGTTGTTGATAAATTTGTGATTTTTGGGGATAAAAAGGGGTTGGAAGTGGCTAGAAATCGGACTAAAAAACAGGCAGAAAACTGGACAGTTTTATGGGATTTTTTGAAAATTCTGCCGGATCTGTTTTTTGCATTTT